CGGGCAACGCTGGGGGGGGCACAACGTAAAGGACAAGAGGCGGGTTTTGGAGGAGCTTCATTGGAGACATTGATTGGGAAGGACCCTGAAGCTAACAAACTGGACGAAGCCTGGCCTTCTCACCCACTCTGTCTCCCACTCTCCCTGCCTCCCGCCCTCCTCCCCCTCTCCCTTCGCCCTGACCTTTGTGTCCTTTTTCTCGGCCCTGGAAGCACTTGAAGCGAGCGTCCACGCACAGATTAAACTCTCCCGAGCATTCGCCCGCGAGGCTCCGATCGCCTCTTTAGAAGAAAAGGAAAACGTGAAGGGTGGGGGGGGGGTATGCAGGCGCTGTTAACTGGCCCTCGGGGGACCATCGGTGAAGAGAGGCAAATAAGGGAGAAAAATGAAATGAGGGGGAGATGAGTATTTGTGATTTTCGTGCACCACTGCGGATGTTCACCGTCTCAATTAGCAGACAAGTGGAAACCTTGTGCTGCGTAGTCCTCGCAAACAACACAAATGCATAAACACCGGCTGCAACGTAATGACTGGAGGCATTAAAAGAACTTTTTTACCACTAACAAGCTCAGATAGTTGTGGAAAGAACCCTAAGCTTTGACGTTAAACAGCTTTAAGATGAAACTAAACTTTGTGTACTCACAAACCAAGCCTGACAGCGAGTCAGGTGACACAAAAATGGAAAAAGACGGCGATGAGGGCAAAGTCTTTGACATCAGCATATTGTACTTGCTGCATATTCGGGTGGAACTGAAATGGAAGGTGAGATTTGACCCTTTTTTGTCCTCTTTCATCTTTTCACCTCTACAGCTCGACCTGAATCCACCTGCCAGCGACGGCGGTGCGAGATAACGCACGTGGCTTTCTTAACGCCACGCGGAGGCTGACGGGAAGGGACGCCAGTAATGACGGGAGACCTGCTGACCACTTGTTGAATCAGCGCAGGTACACGAAGCCCCCCCCTCCCTCCCCTCCTCCCGCCGTGGGGGATTAATAAAGAGACTACCTATCTATCCCTCTCTTTTTGTTGCCCTCCCAAACAGCTCAGTGGCCGATTGAAGCTCCCGACGATGGAAGCTCCCGCATCCTTCCGGATGAAGGACGAATGTCTGCTCGCCGCGTCCCCCCGATGTCTCACGGAGGGAGAAAAATATTCTGAATTGCTTCAGAGGGACTGGGAGGAGGGTGGTGTGTGCGTGTGTGCATATGAGGTGGAGGGAGAGGCGGGGGAGGCTGGCGGTTGAGAAATGTGATTTCTGCTCGACTGTCACAAATCTAGCGCAACAGGAAAATCAATTTGGCCCTGTGTGTGCCTTTTTGGCTCTGGGAGGGAATCCAAATAGCGAGGCGAGGCCCGGGTAATGTTACAGTGTATTGGATTTGCTTCACGGGGAGAAAGAGGGGGAGAGCGGGAGAGAGAAGAAGGGAGAAAGAAGAGGAAAAGTGAAGAGGAGAGGGAATTAGAGGCGTGCCGTTGAGCTCCGACAAGATAGATTTGAGTATGTGTATGATGGGCTGGCAATCTGTCACTACCCCCCCGTGTCTGCATCGTTCTCACACAATCACAGATGCACAGACAACTCATCCAAACCAGCAAGCATATATATATATATATATATATAGATGTTAACGGCAAATAAGTCTCACAAGGAATCATGAAATAAGCTGTCGCGTTTTGTCACAGACTGTTCGTAGGAGGCAAACTTAGTCTGTGGACGACGGCTTCGAAGCCTCAAGTTCGGCCTTTCGGTTGAAGCCATCTTGTTTTTTGACCGTCGCCGGCTTGTTTTTTTTGGAACCAGAAGAGGCGCGAGAGGGACGAGCTCAGGAAATGAACCTTCATGAACCCAAAATGTATTTTTTAAGAAGGCGGTAAATGCTGTCCTCCCTGCTTTGTGCTCACTTTTACTCTAAATGACACACGTCCTTCACAAAATATCTTTCTTTCAATTAAGTATTGATGAATTGATTGATTGAGATCCTAAACTAACGTTTGCAATGTTCAGCGGTGTAATAAAGTGAGAAGACTGTGGGTTTGAGGGGACTGAGGGATATTCCGTGGCAGCTTCAATTTACAGAACCGCTGGCTGTCATGTTGCCCATTGGTGTGTGTCTGTGTGTGTGTGTGTCCGACAGGCAGGTGAATGGATGACATGATGAAATCGCTCTTCTCTGGCCGCTGTCAAGGGGGACGTGTGTGCCGCGAGCGCTCAGCACTCATGTCGCATCAGGCCAACGAGTCACCAGTCCCCCCCCCTCCCTCAAAACAAATAACACATGGTTGACATGCGTGCAAAGTCTGCAGACATATGCAGGTGGATTCATAGAAAGAGCTGGCTGAAGAATCACACATCATTTATCTAGTGACAGTAGTCTTAATGGAGCAAAGCGCAGCGTCTTATTAGTGTGTAAGTGTTTTGACTTTTTCTTGACATGCCGTTCGAACTACTGAAAATGAAAACAGGCGGAATTTTAACAACAATTATGAACAAAGAACGTGTTGTTTTTCTGACACACATAACGGCACAGTGTGACAACATGAAGCACAACTTGTCCCAACTTGTGAGGAAGTGTTGGACTGGGCGCGTTGGGCGCTAAACCACATTAGTTCTCCCGTGTCTCTCTCAGGCGGGCTGCTCCTTGATCTAATTCAAACTGATTGTGGTACAGCCGATAAAACATGCCAGATGTTGCTCACCGCTCCACGCTTTATCGCCATTTATTTGGCACGGGGAAACGTTTTTTAAAATATTTTCTTATTAATCACGTCCCAGCGATCGGTTTCGCTCCCCGTCTCCGCCGCCTCATTCCGGATCCTCGTCAGGATTTCTGGCACGGGCGCCTGCAAAGCCAGCGTCCTAGTTTTTCATTAGCGTCAATCACTCCGGTAAGCGGCTTCGAGGAAGGGAGGAGGAGGAGGAGGAGGAGGAGGAGGAGGAGGAGGAAGAGCTGGCGTCAGGATCTCACTCAAGACGTTTCGTCCCGCCTCGTCAAGAGTGACTGACGGCTTCCGGACATGCTGATGCGCCGGTCGGCCACGCAGTCGGGCAGAGCGATGTGTGCGATGACGGCGAGGTCAGCGGGTACACACACACACACACACACACACACACACAGAAATCAAATCCACGCTCGCTTATGATGCTGAATGTTTATCGAACTGGTTTCTGCGGCCTCAGGAGACGGACGGACACGCCGCGCATCGTCTGGTGACCCTGCCGGTGTCTCGCCCGGCCTGCCACGCCATATATAAGGAAACGAGTCAGAGAGGACCGTCCTCCGCTACCAGTCAGTCTCAATTAAGTGGTATACTCGTGCAATCCACAGGGGACAGGGGGGGGGGGCTTTATGAAAATTCTACCTGTGTGTGCATATAACAGCGTGATTGAGCACTCAACAAGTCTAAAACTATGCAAGGACAAAAACCTGTGAGCAGAAAATGAATGAGACGAGAAGCGCTCGCGCTGTGCTGTAATATTCTTGAGGGGTCCGAATTAGGATTTCAAATGGAGCAGATATATCAAAGTCTAGACAAGCTGGATTGATATTATTTGGTCGTGCGCTTCTGTGTGCACTTATCGTTTGTCCCTTTGTCCGAACTGGCAGAATAAAAAATGATCTGGATGGATTCTACGGCGAGCGGGAGAGCCGCTATTGGACCACGGTGTCTTCACCTTTATGCGTCGTCTGGACTTCTTCGAAAGAGGAGGTCAAACCGCGTTCAACTGGCACTCGAGCGAAGTCTCCCAGGCGAATCCCGAGGGATTACGGCGAGGACGGGGCGTCACCTGCGACGGCCCACGAACGCAGCCACCAAGCAGTGCAAACGTTTGAATGTTGCTTCCGCAGCAGGAACGCAGTTGGCCTCAAAACGTCACCCGAGTAGCTCAAACCAGACAAACCCTATTTGGGATTTGATGTTCCAGTCCTTCAGTGCAGATGTGCTTAAGTTACCACCAACACAGTTTCACCGTAACGGCTAAATACGGGTCGTTTGCATAGAAAGAGGCCAATGGTTCACTAGATTTACGGATATTACTTATGTGCAAATAGTGTCGGAGCACCAAGACTATATTTGCTCTGCAGCGCAGTTAAGGGAGCATTTTCCCTTTTGCACGTTCTTTGAAAATTACACCGTTTCTTTTTGTCCCATTTGTGCAGGTTCGGCCCTTTTTGAATTCGCCCCTTGGTGTATAGATTTATATATACAAATATGTCATATGAAATGCAGACACCGATTAAAGCAAAGAAAAACAGGTTTGTCCCGTAGCCTTGATTTATTCGCCATTTGGTTATAGAAAGGTGGGAGAGCTTTATCTTTGCCAGCACACTGCATTTAAATGTTGGCATGTTGTTATTTGCGGATATACTTATTCTGCATCACGGTCCGTTTTTCTACGTGACCTTTCTTAAAATCCCCTTTAAATGCACATATTTAAAACAAACGAAATCAGGTCTTTAAATAGCAAAATGTATGGAAAGGTCAGGTGGAGACATAGGTGGGATAACTGCGACGTGTTTAAACAGCAGCAGGTTTACTGATATTCTCGCCTCAAAGCGGCTCCTTTTTTTTTCAAAAAGCACATCGAAAGAAATGAGCCACGCGGGACTTTAAACTAAAACCTCTGGCCACGCGCCAATCAGTGATGTCACGCCAGCCGTTGTTTCATCATCCGTCAAAGGGAGCGCACCTCATTTGACATCACTGGCTGGGGGGACGTTCCTGATTGTTTTCTCATTTGCTTTTTTTTTTTCGAAACAGCAGCCTCTTGTTTCGGTGGCACAAAGCAATTTCCCTTTAAGCTGTAAAGCAATTTTGCGAAGTTCCCAGGGAATCTCACACGGCGGCGCAGGACGCGGAATGCGGCGCCGCCGTGTGCGACGGGTTCCTTCGGCAATCCCTGTCAGCTGTGGTTTCGTTTGTTTGCGGTGATTCGACTAATAAAGAGAGAGATAAACTCTGGCTGGGGGGGTTTGTGGTGCGTTATTGGAACCCTTACCCGGCGCGGTGACGTTGGCCGAGGGTCCGCCGGCAGGAGAGATGGGTCCGGAGCCCGATCGCGACTGCTGGGACTGAGTGGAGCCCGCGGGGGAGCCCACGGGGGAGGGAGACGGCCCGCTCCGCTGGCTGGCGAGGTGGGGGGAGGCGTGAGGGGAGAAGGGGGACTGTCCCTGGTTGCTGGGGCCTCCGTGCTCCCCGTGGCTGCTGGTGCTGCTGCTGCTGCTGCTGCTGCTGGAGGAGGAGCCGCCGCCACCGCCGCCGCCGCCGCCGGCTGAGCCCAGACCGGCCTCCGTCCCGGTGGGGAGGTCATCAATGGAACCGGACAGATCCTGGAACAGAGGACAGGGCTTACAGAGAGAGGCAATACATGGCGAGTGACGTGCAGCAGGCGGCTTAGAAATGTAAAGTTGAACTCAAGCAAGACACATTTACCTGGTAAATATAATCATCAGATGCTATAATCTGCAGAAGCCTCTTGAAAAACCAATAAAACCCAGTAAAACCACATTGCTAAAGCGCACCATATTCCCAATGGTTGCAGAAGACATTACAGGTTTTAAGTTAATCGAAACAAGCGCACGAGGTGATTTTCTGAACAGATTTTCTCGTGAACCGCTGTAATCAGCGCGATAACGTCCCTGCAGTCATGGTGACAGTGGTTAATATGGCGCTGGAACAAAAACGTGGTGCTGTGGTGAAAATTAATTGTAAAGGGCTTTCATTCCGACAGAGGGTGAGTTCACGTTACAGCTTGTATTCCCTGTGGTGAGAACTGTGTGTGTGTGTGTGTGTGTGTGTGCTATGCAGGTTCTTCTTCTCCTGAATTGATACCAGGGAATCCCCTAAAATACTGCTGAGTACCAAATACTGCTGCGTATATTAAGTATATCCATATACGTGGAGCACAGGAAGTGGCACTTTATCAATAAATAAATATAAACGAGTGAGTAGAAGAAGAGGAAAGTTTCTTAATACCCCGTAATACACGTCACACACACACACACACACACGTCACACACACACGTTGACAGACTGGCGTCTGTGCCCCACCTGTAGCTGAATACGGGGGGGGTGGGGGGAGCCACCTGTGAGTAAGCCCCCCCGTTCCCTGGCTGGTGCCCACTTGGGAGGCGGGAGGGGAAGAGTGGCGGGTGTGTGCCAGCTGATCTCACCTGCTCCACAAGGCCTTGGTTGACCCCGTCCCCCCCCGTCCCACCTGAGTCCTGATGGTCACCGCGGGCTCACAAAATCCAAAGCAGCCCCCCGACTATGCGCACCTGGAGGGACCGCCGTCACATTCTCTGCACCAGCGTGCTTCCTCGAGCGAGACAAGGAGGCATTTTTCCAAACCCTGTATGTCTCGGACGCATCGGGTGTGAATACAAATACGCCATTGGTTTGGAATTTATGCAGCTCTGTCACATTCAATTCAACGTCGACAGCGGCGGAAACTGTACTTTCCCCCCTCATTCCCCTGGCAGCATGTTATTTCACATGTGAGACAGGCGTGTCCCATTTCTCTGTATCCACGCATGGAGGCTTTACTTTTTATTTCATAAACTCCACTGCAACATTTGTTCTCGGTTACTGTTGTAACGTCTGCTTTTCACTTCATTGTTTTTTAAATGTCCCCTTTCTTTCGCCTGATGTTTCGAGGCTTTTAGCGGTGTCGCTGAATCGCCTCGATCTTTAAATGCGCTGCACAAAATAAATTTGCCTCGCGAAACAGACAACGAGGTCAGCGCGGCGTTCGCTTCTCTGGCTGCTTGTTTTGGTTGATGCCGTCCCGGCGGTGACACACACACACACACACACACACATACACACACACACGCACAGAGCCTTTGTTTTTTCCCATCACGCCGCCGTGAGCGCCCACCCGCTCTGCCAGCCCGCCGGCCTGTCGCCTGGCATTATCTCTCCCCCCCCCTCGCTCCACGCGGGCATCTCCCCCCCCTCCCCTCCTCTCCCTCTCTCACCCGAGGTACCGCTCCCTGTCTGAGCCAATCGCAATCACCCGGCGTTCTGAGCCCAGTGACGTAACGCGCTGCCTCCACCGACGGGGGCTCGCCGCAGCGGGGGTCGCCGCGAGAGAGCGGGTGTAACCATGGCGACGGCTTTTTCAACACAACCGAGGGCTAGCAGGACGTGCGGCTAGGTTCTCAACCCGGCGGCTAATTGTGCGAAAGGATGGGAATAATTCCATTGCACCTAATTGGGTGCTGCTGCCAGCTTTTCCAGTGGCTGTGGAGGGGCGGGAAAATGTGTACCAGTGATTTGTTTTAAGGCTGTTAGGCTCGTTTGGATTATATACACACACACACACACAGCAAAAACAGCAGCTCCACTATGCTAGCATGAAAGGGTGGGAAGGCATACCACCCCGAGACTATAAAAACGCCAAATGTAAATACCCAATAATTCCACAGTTATAACCTAATTTCACAACGCACTTAATAACCACCTCCCTCCACACGCACACTACGTCCCCCGTCCAGGGCCAAAGGCTCCTGTGGTACCTGGCTAACAAGTCTGCTACGCAGCCTAACTAACCGGCTAACCGGCCGGGCAGCCATGCGGTCGGGGGATCCAAACACCCAACAAATGTGGGGCCCCAATCCAAAGTGGCCCAAATCCAATTTGTTTGGCTCCGGGCTGCAAATTGCTCTGTGCATTGAGTCTCCAAATAGCTGTCAACCACTCCCGCTTGTCGTCCTGTATCGCTTAATTTGCTCCTGGAGCATGTAATTGTCATAATAAGAAAAATATTGAGGTGATAATAACCAGTTACTTTGAGATCTCCCCCCCCCCCCCCACCACCTCCACCCCCACCGCCTGCCTCAAGACAGACACACATTCAGTCGCGCTTACGCACATGATAGGCCGAACCTGCCATCCGCACATTTCACAGTACGGCGGGGAGGCAGTCGCTCGTGACCCTTCACCTCGCTGGTGTTGCCGCCTGCCTGCATTCTATCGTTTAGTGGGCCTCTGTTTGTGTGTGTCTGTGTGTGCGTGCGTGTGTGTGTGTGAGACAGGCGCACACGCAGCTGGGCTGTCACAGCTAGACATGCTTGAGCGCTGATGTGACCGAGGGGACAGATGAAGCCCCACGTACACACACACACACACACACACACACACACACACAAAACACATTCCTTATCTTTTCATACACTCATACCGCTGACCTACTCTCATGCTCACACACAGACGCACACACACACACACACACGGCAGGGTGCAAGGTCACATCCAGCAGACTGTGGGCCCTTTCCCCCCCCGTACAAGGTACTGCTGTTGACTCCTCTCACCGCGCACACTGGGAATTAATAAGAGCTGCTTGGTAGAAGGCAACGAGCGTTGTGCGATCGCGCGTGTGTGTGTGCGTGCGAGAAAGTAGTTCTCTGTCTAGACGGGGAGGAGCCAACGGCCGCCGCTTCCTGTTGGGCGACAGGAAAGGAGAGAGCGGGTGGAGGGAGCAGCTCCTTAGCTCTCTCTCTCTCTCACCCGGGTGGGACGGACCGTGCGGCGGCGGCGGCTCTGCACCAGACGTCCAACCGGCTAACTGTGTGGCTACCAGTTGAGCCACGTAGCGCGCGTTGAGAGCTCTCTCAGAAACCTCACTGGGTTTTCCCCAAAAACACACGAGTGACCGCTAACAAAATAGTCTGCGTTCTTGTTTTGAAGCGCCAGGTGTTGAGTTTAAGCAGAACGGAGTCGGTGCACTTGGATTCCCGGTGAAAGTAAATCCAAAACGGGAGATAACTTTCTTACTCGTTCTCGGCTTTCCATCTGGGACTCTTGATTCCAACGTGAGCCTATTTCGGCCCAATCGAGGGAGTATTTTCAGTCTTTTTCCGACACAAAAAAGGCATTTAGTGAAAAAAGTGAGACTCCTGAAGCCTCCTATTAGCTTTAGCAGCTTTCAAGAATGTATTTCAGAATACTCACTGTGGTTTCTATTCCCCGTCTCTTACACTGGAATTGCATGAAGCGGAAAAACAATTACGACCTTGTGAAAGCATTGTTTCAAGACTTGTTTGCTTTAAGGCATCTCTTCGCGCAGTATTGATGTTTTTACCGACGTGCACGTGCGTCCATACAGGAACATTCTTTCCACGGGTCAAGATTAAAGTCCTAATGTTACACATGGCGACGGTAATGGTGCACTTTGCGGAGGTGTGGTATGTACAGAGATAACACCTCAGTGGGCTTTAATCTCTGTTTCTCTTGTCTGGGTAAATATGATGATGCAAACTGTAATGAACTCAAACAGATATTGTTCGTAGGCCTGAGGGACAGGTCTGCTCATGGCAGCACTGCACTCATTCATCGGCTCCGGACGCCATGTTTTCTTTCTTTATGACGCACCGGAGACTAAGCGGCAATGCGTTTACAAAAAGAAGCTTTTTATTTTTATTTTTTTTAACCGTCGAGAGGCGAACTCCAAATGAAATGCCATGCAAATGAATCCAAATGGACTGCTGAACGTGTGTGTGTGTGTGTGTGAGAGAGAGGGCTTTAATGCGATGCCCCATGTAGAGCACCAACTGTAATTCCTTTCACTAAGTGCTATTAAGCACAGAGAGAAGAAGAGAACTGAGAAGGAGGGAGAGACTTAACACAACACCCCCACCATCATTCCGTTTTTCTGATGTCAATCAGCTGGGACGTCTGCCAAGGCTGGAACGATGATGATAATTGGTGATGATGATAATGAAAATTGATAGGAATTATGACGATTTAAGCGCTTCACTGTGAAATGTTCATCAAAATGTGCTTTGCGGTGCACTGGCAACGCTTTAATAATTCCCCGTAGGAATGTGCGAACACGTCTTGACGGGGTATGTCTTTGCGAGATAATGCGAGTGTTTGGGAGCAAACTGGGATATGTATATGTATGAGCTGGTGTGTGGGGAGATAAGAGTTCTCGAGTCTCTGCCACCTCCTCGGGGTCTTTGCCTGGTGCCTCCCATCCTCACTGAGGATTCCACTCAGAGAGACTCCAAGTACAGGCAAGGGCGCTCTCTGCAAAGCGAGGGGAGATGTTTGACATGCCTCAGGCTCGCTCAAAAGAAAACCCATGTGGGCCTCAGGCACGGCACCCAGCAGGCACTCAATTATGCCAGCATGCCAACCCGTGCACGTCTTTGTGGCGCCACGAGCTCGGAGGCTGAACGCTCCTATCTCGAGTGCTTGGAGCTTCCCGATTGTCTCCCCCTTCAGTCGAGTTAAGGCAGCCACAGGTGAGAAGAGCCAAGCTGGAGCAACACGGAGGCAGCGACAGGGGCAGTTGCGGCAGCAGCGGCAGTTGCAGCGGCGGCAG